ACCTGCCTCGGCTGTTCAAAGGCCTTCATGACTCAGAAAAGCCTCAGCAACCATGAGGCTCAGTGTGATGCCAGCAAAAACCTTGATGCTGATGTCTATAAACAGCAGCGCCACCTGGAAAAGCAAAGATGTCAGAAGAACAAGAGGAAACGTGCTCATGGTGAGTCTGCCTCACCAAAAGGCAGCAATGCAAGTCGTGGTCCTTGTAGGTCGTCTCCAAGTCTAGCTGAACAGATGGATGTCGATGTCATTGACAATGATCGATGGTTTGATGTACACGAGGTATGTCATATGAAATTTATGATCGATTGGACTAATATTACTCTACAAGGATGAAAATATTGCAGGACCTTCTAACACCGTCATTCCGGAACCGGAGCTCCCAATCCCACCTATCCCTGATGCACCTGCCATTACCTCTGCCCGTTCTGGCTGACAGATCTGCATGCCTGCTCGTTATGCAGACTTTGTCCCAGCTGGACCTACTGATCTCCCACATATACCCCCTCCGCCAGACAGCCCCCCCCAATCGAGCCATCAATGACCTCCCTGACGACCAGCCCTTACTTGTACCCTACCAGACTGCACCAGATGCACTGGGTCTTTTCCGTGTCTATGCACAACAACCGACTCTCATACCCTTTGAAGGCCTTGATGTGATCGCCGATGTCCCAACCTTCGAAACACAGCACAACCCTCATTTGGAGAGATCTCAGATTGTTCCCAGACTTCCCTCCCAAGACATTCGGCCTGAAGATATCTTCTCCCCATTCAGCAGCCCGACTGCAGGTCTTCTAATGTGCTGGCAGTATTCTGGCATGAACTCCAAATCGAGTGCCGAAATGAAATGCCTCACACGGTTGTTTCTAGATAATGATGAATACAAGAGAGAAGACATGCGTGTCTTTGATGATGTGCGTGAGAAGAAGCTTATGAATGTGTATCTTCAAGACAGATCTAACCCATTTTGTGTGGAGAATGGCTGGCGCTGCTCCTCAGTAAAAATACGCCTGCCTAAAGAAAAGGTCGCATTCGCATCTGAAGAAGAAGCCCCAGAATTGGAGATCCTGGGTGTTCATCACCGCTCCCTCACTGACATTATTACATCCGTCTTTGAGGACAAGATCATATCGACATTTCATTTAACGCCTTTCCGTCAGCAATGGAAGATCTCCGAAGGTCATGTTATAAATGTCAACAGCTGAGGCGTATTCCTCGCCTTCTTTCCTGGAAGCCTACGAGGAGATTAACGCACTTCCCCAAGATCCAGGCGATAATCTCGAGCAAGTCGTAGCCTTGCTGATGATGTGGTCTGACAGCACTCATCTTGCCAGCTTCGGAGATGTGTCTCTCTGGTCCTTCTACCTCTGTTTTGGCAATCAATCTAAGTACACGCGAGGCAAGCCAACAGTGTCCGCCTGTCATCATGTTGCATATATTCCTAATGTAAGTTGCATCTGTGATCTATTAATTTGATTATACTCATTCAGATGTAGTAAGCTTCCTGATGACTTCCAAGACCATTATGGCCATCTCTTCGGCGAGGCATCATCCAGTGATGTCTATACTCACTGCAAACGTGAGCTCATGCAAGCCATATGGGCACTTCTACTGGATGAAAAATTCATGGACACCTACAAAAATGGTATTGTCATTCGATGTGGTGATGGTATCACTCGACGTGTTTTCCCCTGCTTCTTTACTTACTCCACAGACTATCCCGAAAAGTACGTGTTTTGATTTTAATTCTTATACTTGTGTCTCATTCTATGTCTATTGTTACAGGATTCTACTTGCTTGCATCAAATTTCTCGGCGAATGTCCTTGCCCCCGCTGCCTTGTCAAGAAAGAAGACATACCCAATATGGGACTGAAGATTGATCTTGAGAAGCACCAAGCAACTCAGCGTGTTGATGACGAATGACGTCATCACAAAATTGAAAAAGCCTGCAGGCTCATTTTTAAATGTGGTGTTGGTATCAACGGCCAACACATCAAGAAGATTTTACAAGACGAGTCACTAGTTCCAACTCGGGTAAGTAATTTATGTATGAATCTTATATATATACCTCAATACTTCATATCAGAACACATTCTCTATACGGTTCCTCAAATATACATTCAATTTTTTTTCAATGTTTGTCGTGGACTTGCTTCACGAGTTTGAGTTGGGTGTGTGGAAAGCTATTTTCATACATCTGATGTGCATTCTTCTTGCTGTGGGTGGTACAGTAGTCAAAGATCTCAATTTCAGGTAAGTCATAGTGTTTTTCGCCACAGTAACACAACACTTATAAGACTATATACAGGTACCGTCAAGTTCCTACATTTGGCAGGGGAACGATCAGACGTTTCCATAAAAATGCATCTGCGATGAAGCATCTGGCAGCCCATGATTTCGAAGACATGTTGTTACAAGAACATCTAGACGCTTGGGCCCCTACCATTTTTCTCCTAATCCTCCTCGTATCAGCCCTCGCGTCATACCCTTACCCCGACCTTACCCTTGTCATCCTCGTCATCCTCGCATTTCCTTTCGCTCTCTACCTGTCGCTTCAGGAAAGCCAGTACATCTGGCCGGATCCTTTTGCTGACGAAGCATATCCATGCTCTGTCCCACCACCTGACTAATCCTGTGGACAGTCCCCTTGCCCTTACCGTCCGGACGGTAACCTATGATCTGATGCACGACGCATCCCCTTTGCCCTTTTCCCTTTCTTGATCTCTGACTCGGTGTGCAGTCGCACATGCAACTTATACTTAGATCCGCAGTTGCACGATCGTACCCCTGCGCGTTTCACTTCTTATTTCGATCGTTGACTCACTTTCTTATCTAGCATGTTCTACCTCAACCGAACATGCCTTCCTGTTATGGTTATACCCTTTACCGATTGCCTCTCCCGGTAGTACGAGTTATCACCCACTAATACGTCTCCCGTCCTCTATATAAACTCGCTACCATGTACTATATTCCCTAACTTGAATCTACTTGGTTCTTGACCTCCTACTCTCACCAGAGTGATCCTTTCTGCCTCGCCAGCAGTCTATATTCTATCTTCTTATCTGCTCCTCGCAGATAAGCCTATAGTCTCGATCTTTACTCATCGACTTCATCGACGAGCAAAGCCCCTGTTAACTAGTTGGACTTCTGTCCTTCTAATTAACCGACGATCTTACGATTAACCTTCAGGTGTCATAAGCCTAGGCCGATATAGCTTATCGTCTCGCACCTGCTTGATGTAAGCTACCCGATTTGGACATAGGCGTCAAATCTTACTTGCCGAAGTCTCGCCAAGTAAGACCCCTAACCTTGGGCAAGCCCAAGGACGTCCTCGACCGTTGACGACACACGCTCTGTTTGAGCGTCGCCAACAGATACCATCCAAGTCGTAACACATGTTGCAGGTAAGATCAATCTGATCAGACATTCAGATCAGAATTTGATGGGCTTTTCATTTCAAGTGCACTATCCCAGTATTTGAAGGACTACTCCCTCCTGAACATGATACAGTTGTTCTTGACCTCCTTTTCGACCTTGCTACCTGGCACGCTTACGCAAAACTTCGAGACCACGACGCACCCGGATGTCTCCTTTGGATCATTATTCAATTGCAACATATGCTCGCACAAATGATGACATCACCTCTTGGTTAATCGAGCACAGAGACATTGGAGATTTGCCTGATCTTGCAATCAAGGTAAGCTATTTTTGTACATGTGTATTCACATTCTCATTGTATTTTCTTAGGAGTTTATTCCATGACTCAAGGACCATCTCCTTGCTCGACTTCGCAATTTTGCATATGACAGAGATGGGCATGACTTCTCCGATGCTGATCGCACCTTGGTTCTATTCACAGACAACAAGATATACCATCACAGTATCTTGCGCGTCGACTATACAACCTACGATCTACAACGCGAACAGGACACCATCAATCCCCATACTTGTGCTGACATTATGCTACTCTCCCACGAAGATGAGAAGATTCATCCATACTGGTATGCCCGTGTGATCGGGATCTTTCATATCAATGTTGAATACCATGAGGACAACACTCAGACGTACTCACACCCAACTCGGATGGACTTCTTATTTGTCCGATGGTTCAGACGGGATAGTTCACCTGCAGGTTGGGCTGCAAAATGCCTCCAGCGCCTCGAATTTTTTGATGAAGACAGTCCTGACACATATGGATTCTTGGATCCAGACTCTGTCATTTGTGGGGTTCATTTGATTCCCAGTTTTCAACATCATTCGGATCCTCAAGATCCTGAGTCTGACTGCCGTTTTCAATATGTGAACATGTGCGCATTTGTTTTTTATTTATTCTTGCAACTAAGGCTGATATATCTACATCATGTATATAGATTTGTTCATGAGGTTTCATGGTGGTGGAATCGGCCATAAAGCTACCAGAGACTGGGACAATATTCTCCAACATGAGAAACATGGAGCCGAAGAATCGGAAGAGGGTGATCAGCTTGAAGAAATCATTGCCGACGTATCAGACGTGGCTGATACAGTGGAGGAGTGGCAGGATATCGAGGATGACAATGCTGACAGCGAGAGCAGTGATGAAGAAGGTGATGACGAGGGTAGAGTCATGGCTGACGAAGGAGAGGAGCTTGACGATGACGTGCTTGCAGAGGAAGGATATGGCGCACTTTGATGTATTTAGCATGCTTCTCGATCGATCGAACGCTCGGCGCATCAAATTTTCGTTTTCATTGTATGTTGCGCAAAAACTTTGATTACAGTACCTATACGACATTGTGTACATATTTTAGTATCTAGGATATGTCATGTAGATACAAGAATCATCTACTTAATGTCGTTATGATAGTATCGCGAGGTGGGAGGTCTCATTCTGAGTTAATTGCTGCATTCAAATGTCGCGTCGGGGTGTTGATGACATCACACGGACTTGTTTGGTCATATGTTCAGCCACACTATCGTCCATATCGGGTAATCTCTCAGTTGCGCAATTTTTGTGATGTATTGCCCGAACCTTGAACCGGACTTCGGTCAGGTTCAAAACGGTTCAGAACCGGACCTGGCCATCACTACAACCTACCTCGTACATCCTCGAAAAGCTATCCTAGATGCACTCTAAGAAGGCCATCCAAGACGGGGCTATTTCCTCGCAAGGTATCGCAGGCCTTCCAATATTCGCAAGGTCGTATGTGGTTTTGTTAGGCCTCGTCAGGTTTGAGCACTTTTGCTGATGGAATATAAATTAAATGCCGTATCCTTGCCGTATCCTAATATGAGGACCAGCGCTGTCAGTAACTAACTGCAACTTCATGTACCGCACCATGGTCACCCACATCCTTTGGAAACTTGTCCTTTCAACAAGCTCTGCACTCGTCGCATTCGGATGTTGGAAGTTAGGAGAGCGAGTTTGGCACACTCTTAGGTCCTCACTGCGCACACTACCAGGCCCAAGAGGAACAAGCTGGCTATACGGGAACTTGAAGGACACTTTCAGCGCGGTACAGTAATCCATCGAACTACCATGATGCAGTCTTCATTGAAAACTCGCAGGAGAATTCAGTCCTTCACGAGCAGTGGGTGGGGCAGTATGGAACAACCCTTAAATACAAAGGGCTCTTCTTTGTATGTTCAATTCCTCCTGCGCTACAAAATTTACCATGTTTGAAATTCTTTCCCAGTCAGACCGGTTATTCACGATGGACACCCGTGCACTGAACCATGTTCTCACACATAGTAGCGATTACCAGAAACCGTCACAAGTCCGGTATAATCTTGCTAGAATTGTGGGCGAAGGTGCGTGCCAGTGTGTCTACTGTTATCCCGGGCTATCTGATATTATCTCAGGTGTCCTATTCGTTGAAGGTGCGATCTCGGCTGCATGATATTTCCATTTCCACTCATTTCGGTCTCAAGGAGCTCAACATCGTCAGCAGGTTTGTTTTGACACGCATCTCAACTTCACCATGCTGACGCCATGTTTCAGAGAAGGATCATGGTACAATTCACCTCTGTTTGCCTTGGACCAATTAAATATGTCTTCCAAAGAACCCCGCATTTGGACCTGCTCAGATACGCACGCTAACGGACATATTCTTCAGTAAATCGATCAAGGTAAGCTTAGTTTGTTCCTCACTAGACATGGATATAGATGACGACGTCGCTGTCTTTCAGCTTCGAGACGTCTGGTCTACCATGACCGTTAGTGAACACGCAGCTCGGATAGATGTCATGCCCTGGCTGAGCAAAATGACGTTGGACGTCATCGGACTTGCAGGTAGGTCCTTTTCGAAGGAACTTCCTACCAGCACCGAATGAGTATCATAGGTTTTAACTATGAGTTTAACGCCCTGAATGCAACCGATACACCAAATGAGCTTAATCAGGCTTTCTCGGTTATGTTTTCTGCTAGTCAGCAGATTAGCATCCTCCCAAAGCTTAAGGCATGGATTCCATTGCTCCGATGGATTGTAAGTTCACCATTGCGACATAAATTGTCACTAACTCCCTCCAGCCCTCTGATCGTGATCGCAAGATAGATGCAGCCCAAAACACGATGGGTCGCATCGGCAGCCAGCTCCTGCATAATGCTAAAGCCGCTGTCATATCCTCTCTCAGCGCTAAAAAAGGTGATTTCATTGAGAAGAGCAGTCTTCAAGGGCGCGATTTACTCGGTTTGCTCGTTCGTGCCAATATGGCCACTGATATTCCGGAAAACCAGAGGCTATCGGACGAGGATGTACTTGCACGTACGTTGTCATTGGGAACTATGCGTGCGAGCGCTTATGGTGTACTCAGAGGTTCCGACTTTTTTGGTTGCAGGGCATGAGACCACGAGGTGCGGATATCAATTGTTGTATAAGATAATCCACACTTACACAGCCGAATAGCATGGCAACAACTTGGGCACTCTATGCGCTCTGCCTACGCCCGGACATTCAAACCAAGCTCCGGGAGGAACTCTTGACAGTGGAGACCGAGACTCCGTCCATGGATGAACTCGTAGCGCTCCCGTATCTTGAGGCGGTCGTACGCGAGACACTTCGTTTGCACGCCCCTGTCCCTAGCACAATTCGGATCGCCATGAAAGACGACATCCTTCCAGTGGACACGCCTTTTACGGACAAATATGGAGTGGTTCATAATGGGATCAAGTACGTTGCCAGCGTCCCTTCCAATGATCATCGATATCTCATCGCAGTTACCTCAGGATCAGCAAGGGGGACCCAATTTTTATTCCCATCTTGGCAATCAACAGATCGGAGGCGATTTGGGGCACCGATGCAAAAGAGTTCAATCCTGACCGCTGGGCATCACTTCCAGAGGCAACATCACAAGTTCCTGGGGTCTGGGGACATCTCATGACGTTCCTTGGTGGTCCGCGTGCATGTATTGGGTATCGCTTTTCATTAGTGGAGTATGTTTGCCGCAGCCTTCCATTTTATTTCCACCGATAAAGACCTTTTACAGGATGAAAGCACTTCTCTTTACCCTGGTTCGAGCTTTCGAGTTCAAGCTTGCTGTTCCTGCTTCGGATGTCGGAAAGAGGTCTTCAATCGTACAGAGGCCGTTCTTGCGCAGTGACCCAAAGAATGAACACCAACTTCCTCTGCTGGTTAAGCCGTATTGCAAGACCACAAACCTTTCGTGATGATATTCTTTAATTCTATAATACTTTGGAAATGACGAAACACCACTGTAATGTTTCCTAATAGAAAAATAATCGCAACAGCAGCTTTCTGTGAATGATAGATGCGTCTATTTGGATTCGAGTCCGGTACGCGAAATGATTATTGTCTAATTACGTATCAGTTTCACGGCCTGCCAGGTTGCTGAGATAAGATTTGAGCAAATTGCACGATGTGAGCTTCGCAGAGCGCAGAGAAGTAAAACTCATGCTCAGAGTTATGGGGTTGCACCAGGTTGTGAGCGATTTCGTGGGCTAGCGTGAAGTACCTGGGACAGATAATTGATTGGATAACTTCAAAGGAGTGATGATGCCTTACCAGGAAATATAAGCCTGATTGATATTCGCATTCTTTACGTCTTGATCATCTACATTTGACAGCATTAGGAAAGTGTGAAGCTTCAAGTATGCACACGCACGCCATGCTTCGAAGAAGCGGTAATTAAGAAAGAGACTGCCGTTCCGATTAAAAGCGATCAAGCCGCCCTCTAGGTCATAAAAGATGTGAAGTGCGGTCATCGGAAGACTATAAACGTTTGCAAGGGGTGTGACAACATGAATGAAGCGCGCGAGAGAATCATGTTTCCTCGTAATGAAGGTGTGGGGTTCGGGAACATCTGCGCAACAGACTGTGAATACTGCATCGTGTAGGACAGAGGGAAACTCACTCCGAGCGATGAAGATTTTCATTGTACCCATAACACCTGCACATCAATTAGTGTCATTAAGCTCAGGACCTAATTCACTACTTACCAATGTAATCAAGCTCAGCGACATGGCCGGAGACGTCACAATACCCTTCATCCAGAGATTCCTTGATTGTTTGCATCTCGCGTCTGTTGTGTACTAACTTCCCTTCCTCTGGTCTGCAGCCTTTGATCGCCATCGCAACATTGGATCCTAGCAACATGTCAGGCAGGTATTATGACAAGCATGTCCAAGCTCACGAATGTCGCTTTGGGGAGTCACAGTTGGAGGTGTCCTAGGACATCTCTGATTCAAAAATGTCGTTTCGCCCTAACGAATGACACTCTTACCTCGGATTTAGGGACCCCTGTGAGAGAGCAAGAGTGTCTTCTGATGGACTGTTGAAGCCAGGTATCTTGCGCTTAATGTTCTGCAGTGTGTTGTTCACAACATTTGGAATCCTAGGATGTCGTACGACATCTCCATTGTCGACTGTACGTTGAGGGGGCCCATCTGGACTAGACGACTTTGCTGGTAGTACTGGTGGAGCTGTAATAAGGGGTGGAGCTGGAGCGGGTGGCAAAAAGGGTTTCGATGCTACTGCCTTCGGAGGTGAAGTATTCCAGTCCCCTGGAACTCTAGTGCGATCATGTGGGGGAGACAATGAACGCGTTTCAGACTTGAAACTTTGACTCATGCGTGGGTCAGGTGCGGGTACCCGTGTGGAACTTCCTCTGGACTCCACTAATGTTCGGTCGTTTTGTTGTTGTCTCAAAATCTTATCCACTGAGACGTACATCAGAGTTTCAGTAAAACGAAGAAACTAGGGGACACACCGTTATAACCCCTCCGTTTCAGAGCTTTCAAGTCGGTCGAAAGGATAGTCATGAACAAGAGTGCGTCATTCACTTTTACCGTCTCGAACAGTAGGCGACACAACGATGTCGCTACTCTACACGAGCCACATTAACCTGCAGTTGATTCATCATAACTTAAGACACCTACTCATACATATCCACTTGCGTGCTTCCTGAAAGCCATAGCTCAATAGGTCCATGGCCCGAACGCTTAGCAACCGCCGATGCATCTTGCTCCCTTTTCAAAGTATTATCTCCAAAGGAAAGCGATTTCACAACAGTCAATTTGCCAAAAACTCTGACTTTGAAATTTTCCTGGTTGGAGAGCCAGCTGAGAGAAACCTTGGTACGCGTATGTGTGTGTTCATGGAGGAACAACGGCAGCCTCTCTAGCAGCAGCGCACGCGTATCAACCGCAGACTTGTTATGCTTCATCTCTGAGTTGACCCTGTAGTCTTCCTTCACGATAACGCTGAGGCGTTTGGAACCTAGAGTTACATAGAAGTCTGCGGGAGTCAGATTGACCTCAGTAGAGAACCGGAGACACACTTTCGACGAGATCCTCTTGTGGTGCAGTATAGATAGACTCTCCGAACATCTGGTAAGCATTAATATCGTCCGCAATCACAACATCCAAGGGTTTTCGAAGATCGTAAAGCAGCTCCCAGTCTTCCTCATCGAGGTTAAGGGCTTTGTTTGATTCCTTTCGAGACTTTCTTTGCCGTCGAAAACCGAGCAAAATGGGAGAAACTCTCATTCGGGCAAGCGCGCTTGTAGATAAAAGACGAGCGTTGACAGCCAAGTTACGCAATTCGACGAGGTAACTGAAGAGAAAATGAGTGTGCATGGTAGCGGAAAGCTGGGTCACACACTTCTCATAACCACCCGCCAAGTCGTAGAATCTTCGAGGATCGGCGACCAAAATGCTAGCTACCTCTTCTACAGAGGGTTCTTGCTTCGAGCCACATGCACTCAAAAAGCTGTTGCCGGAAGGGCCAAAATCCACAAAGACGAACAACTTTGAGTGGAACTGCCCTTTCGATGGCCCTCCAAGATAACACTGGCCAGGGGAAAGCCAACGCAGTGCCTCGGACCCAGATTCTACCTGCGTGGGAACGATTGGAAGCCCCGAAATTATTGACAATTGAGATGAACTGAAGTCTGTATGACTATCAGTAAGGTGCCTACGTGTACTAAGCAAAGCAAACCTGCAACGTGGCCTGATAAAATTTCAAACCATCGACGAGCAACGTTCTGATCTTGAGGAGATGTTTTCTCAAGTAATGCCACGATCCTAGTAGCGGGTGGGTGTTCCTTTAAGCCTAGTTTACTTACTGCAATATCGCGAACGGCATCTTCGACGACTGAAAACCCGAGGACCTTCCACTGACGTGATGCAAATACCTATCAAGCGCGACACATCAATTCAGATTCATGATGTATACGTGCCCGCTGACCTCGTTCGGAGTCCTCATACAAGGCCCGAAGTTATCTACTGCTGGTATGAAGGCAACATGACCAAAATCTTCACGTCTGTAATCCGGGTATTTGGAAGGAATGCTGTCTATAAGATATTTGAATGCTGCAGAACGAATTTCTAGCTCCGACGAAGCGCAGAGTTTGATGGTCGAGTCCAAAGGAGGACATATTCGCAGGCCCAGTCGATGGAGAAGCTTTGCTAGTAGGAAAACATAATCTCAAATGGGGGAGCGACATGCAAGAGAAGATACAAACCTTCTTCGGAACTGCTTCGCCATTTGGTCTTCTCACCCCAATCGATAATCGGCAAACCAAGCTGCCGGTTTGTGATAGATGGTTCGTAGAGATCACTGGCCCTATATCGCGACTTCTTTCCTGAAAGAGCGTTCTCGCCTTCCCTTGAGAAAGCAGACGTCATCTGGAGTTTGGTAATCTCATCCGGAGTTAATGTGCTTTGGATAGTTACTAGATGCGTTATTAGATCTGAGATTGTCCAGTCCCCAGTTTTGACCATTCTGCCGGAATGTAAGGAACTTGATGTGATATTATACGTAGTGGCTTACCGATCAAAGACGACCTGAAGGTCCACATGCTTCCGGACGCCAACAAAGGAAAGCAGCTTCTCCACATTACCCTTGAGAGCACCGCCAGATGTAAAAGTAACGACAGGCAAATCGTTGAATATATTGGCGCCTGGAAAGTACGCCAGCTGTGGTTTTTGTAGACCTGAAGATGTCGGAATGCACGATTTTTGGACGAGTATAGCCTTGATCCTTTCATGCGATTCCTTGGACGACGATGGCCATGTGCGAGCTAAAACTGTCAAGACTCGCTCAGCCCATTCTGGAGACCTGGTTACGTCTTGTGCTGGATTTGCATTCATAACGTCTGGTCTGAAGATGTACTGTATCCAGTCGAGAATCGAAAATTCTCGCCACCCAAAAGATCTCAGCTGTTCCTGCGTGAAGTGTTTTGTGATGCTCAGAGGCATGAGAGTATCGGGTAAGGGCCCATCAAGCGGAATCATACGCTGATGAATGAAGTACTGCACCATCGAAAGAGGAATCGGCCTGGCATCCTCTCCTGAGCCTAGACTGAGGATAGTTGCATGAAGAAGCTCAGTGCGAGCGCGCGTAGCATCCTGCGTCGGATTTTGCTGTCCGACAAGCCACTTGAGACAGGCGATGAGTTCTTCTTCGTTGAGTGGATGTTGACGAAGTTGAGCCAGAACATCCGGAAATGTAATATCCGTGATCAGTCCTTTACTTTGCAGAGTTCTAATGGCAAGAGGAGCAGAAGACAGAACGGAGGCGGGAAGGACAGGTAGTTGTTTGAGGAATGACGAAAACATGGGGTCGGGAGCGCGCACATCAGAAGCATCGCGCACACCTGTCGTCGAAAGGACTTTGAGGGGTAAAGTGGAGCAACCAAAGAAGGCGGTCTCGAGGAAACGTGCAACATCAGAAGAAGGTGTTGAGATATGGAAAGTGAAAAATTTGACGACATGCAAGAACCGATCGCGCAGCCAGTTGCCGAGTTGTGGATCTGGATGAAAATCGTTCGTATTGGATGAACTCGAGGCTTCGTTCCAGAGCATCCGAATGTTTTCGAGCTCTATCTCGTATGCTGCTCGACACAGATAGCCGCCAACGTACAACAGCTCTCTGTTCCATACTATATCACTATCAGCTATTGACTCAGTGGCAAACACATAGATCTCACTTGCGACGTTACGGTCGCTGGAAATACGGTCAGATGAATGCATGGGGTAATGTAAATTAACTCACACTAAATCTATTGACTCCCGTTCAACTGTTGGGATAAATCTAGATGCCATGTGACCACCGATACCTGTTGTCTGTCCAGTTGCGTGCCCCTACGATCATTAGTCGACTGTAATCGCTTCCTTGAGATCGCTCTTACAATAAACACATGTGCTTGGCCAGCACTATACAAATAAGCATGAGTTACAGCCACAGCCTCGTCCCCGAGAACAGGGTACTGACCCATTCAAATCAGCTCTGAGACCCTGAAAAATGCTTCCACAAGATACGGGTTGGCTCTTCTCCTCATCTAGACTCACATTGTACTCGTCTTTTCCTGTCTGCAAATGAATCAGTCACAAGCCAAATGAAAGTCGCGGATCAAAAACCCACATAAATCAGGCTGTAATTTAAGTGAGCGGGCGGGTTTTTCTTTGTAGATCGGTGTAGTTCGCTCTGAAGTTTCTTATCCAGCTTTACGTCTACGTCCGCATTGAACATGGTGAGTGTGACACTTGAGTTGTATACTCCCGTGGGGTCTTTGTTAGTTTGAGGTTGTGGTAAAGGTTTTGCAAGTACGGGCTGATGATGTGACGTAAAAGTGCTGAGAAGAGTCGAGAAAAAACCACCTTGAGAGACTTTGGGTGTTTCTCCGACTGGGAGGACGAGAGGTTTCTCAGTGCCAAGATCGTATACAGCATGCATGACTTGTGCCTGGATACGAGTAGCTAAAATAGTGCATCAGCCATACAGGCGGCCAGTAGCAGAGGGAAGTGCTCGCCAGCAGACTGCACACTCTTCACATTCATCAAACCTGAACCGCTAGACTTTTTCAACGCTTTGGGTAATTCAAGCTCCCTTGGAACACCCGAAGATTTCGTGAGATGGGCCAGGCGATGAGAGTCAAGAAAGACGCTGACTGAGCGAAGGTGGACCATGAATGTGATGCTGCTTGCAAGGAATCGTGTTAGATCGAAAGGCTGTGGAACAGGTCCCTGTTCACGGAGTGTCATCTCAAAAGTTGTCCACGGATTAGACTGGAGAACATCTTTGGATGGGAGATCACCGCGCCGTACAAGGAGCTTCAAGAGGTCAGCTGATATCAAGTGGCAATGGACATGCATACTTGGTCTCCAGTTTTGTCCTTCCAGTAGAATTGCATTCCGTGACCTTGATTCTATTAGAAAAATATAAAAAGATACCCGAATAAATTTCTACCTCCTGAAATAACGAATGGTTCCTCAGTTACGGAGAACAGACTATAGAAGCCTGCAAGAACGTTAGGAAATGAGTTAAATCAATGGCTTGCAGGAGCGTACCGACACCGAAGGCGCCAATCTTCTCCTCGTCTGGATTTCCTTCAGCTATACAAAATGAGTATATTATTATATTATTCAAGCTTCAAGTGCGCCACAAACCAATTTTCCTAAGGCGATTCCAGTCCTCGTCACGAAAAACAAATCCATTATTCCGAAAGGTCCACTGGGAAATCTACAATGATCGATTAACAAACACGGAAGTTGCGATAACATTGACATAATACAAACTGGAGTGGCTTTGAGGTCTGGGAAACCCGCACTGTCCTCTGGTTGCATCGCATCCTCGCTGTTCTTTTGTCGTAGATATTCCTCTGTCTCAAAATATATCTCAACCGCGGAAGACTGTGCATCATCTGAGTTCTGAAGAAGTTCACGGAATACTATGTAGCATGTTCGTCAGGGCTGCGGGATCAAACAAGAAACCAGCAGGTATAGCGCACCTGTGAATTCGCCCGAATATCGTGCCAACACCTTGTCGATCAATGCACGCTGATTAACTTCTACTGTCTCATCATAACCACTCGCCCACTGCCTTGGTCGTCCATCAGCATCTCATAAGGAATCAAGCAGGCTTACAAGGGCGTCTCGATCATGAGCCATAGTAGATTGGTTTCAATGCCACGCGCCTTCCCCGTGTGTAACGTGTTGCTGGCTAGTAGTTGAATCAAAGTTGAATGGAATTGAACTGGCGTCTTACACTTTTTCAGGTGTTGATGACAGTAATCCTTTGAGCCTAATTGACAGGCGAACAGAGGATACTCGTGCGGAGCCTTTAAGCCCCAAGCTCGTTGAATAGTACTAGCTGTAGGCAAACAAACATGGCATAACATTGACAATTATCATTAGTCAGCGCTCAAGACTCGCAGATTGCCATATCGCGTGTTCACTCTGAATCTTGATTTCTGGCCCTAAGCACGCAAGTAGCACACAAGATAGACCTGACTGTCAAGTCAACTCATTCCTGCTCTCATATATCATCATGATGTAAGAACTCGGAGAAGAAAATTCATTTGAAATGGCCAAACTTGATCGCAATTACGTATGTACTGCATGCCGCCCAGTTCGGTTAAAATGCGGTCGTGGTCGAGAAAGTTGATCAGACTAAACTCTGAACTATTGCTATGGAACAAACCAGGGTGTCATAGGGTGTCATGAAAGGTATGAAAAATGCAAGACAATTGATGGCATAGAGACGGATATTTTTCAGGATATGACGGATGCGATGCGATGTTCCTTCCATGTAATAGATTCCTTTACAAAAATGCCGAAGTGTCAGGGAACACCAGCACCCTACACCCTGCAAGGGCAGTCATAAATTGGAACCTCGTGGCAAGTCAGGGTCGGCGGGCATACAAATAGAATTCCAACCTGCACTAGACTTATTGGTTCCCTGTAAGCGCAACAGCAAACCATCCGAAAATAGCCATTAAGAAGCGCACCATCCACGCTGGGTCAGCGCCAACGCCGCGGCCTGGCCTAAGCTGCATCGCCAGAGCAATGTCAAACTCAGGCACAGCACGGTATGCGCGACTGCGAGGATGGATAAGGGGTGATGAAGGAGGTGCAGGAATAGAACGAGCGACCCGCATGGACCAGGAAGGACGTGTAGGTGGTTCACGAGTTTCAGAATCTATTGTTGGATGTACACATGCTTGTGAAGGAATGGGTCGATCGTCTGGGGTAGGGTCAAGTGCCGTTGGGATCGGTAGCAAAGAAAGATCCTGCGAAGGTGAATCAGGTGACGGATCTTGCACGCCGAGGGATGGCAGAATGTCTAGAGCATCGTGAAATTTCTCGTCCTCTGGGTCTTCTCCTAAGTCATCGGAGGTGGCGATGGAGACACAGGACAATGGTGCAGAAGCGCGAGCACTGAAATACGGGGGTTCCTCGGATTTCTCATCAAGTATACTCTGCGTTAGCGCTATAGTTGTTCCAATGTCTGAATTTCTCCTGCAGGAGGACAACACGGCATGATTCTCAACATGAGGCAGACTTTGCCAAGCCTTGTGAGACCAAAGAATTTGGGTATGTAAGTGTTTGATGGCATACAATCTTAGGCCTACACAGGCCAGTGTAAGCAGCACAATAGTGCATGAGAAGATGAGGAAGAGGATAGAAGCAGAAGTCAAGAAATCTGCTTTCCCATAGTTCGTGACGAGGTCTGAGAGGTTGTGTGTGGTTGGCACTTCATCTCCTGAGCTGATCACGGTCGTGATCCGTTGACCAAAAGGCATTAGACCTTCTGCGGTGGTCGACCCATGTACTGCATCGAATGAAAGGTAGCCATCATTTGCAGCAGCATACGTGGTCCCGATCTCCGTTTGAGCGTCGCAATGGAAGTCACTATAGCCCGTATCAGGAAAATGTTCAGAAAATAAATGCAAGCCTGACTCACTCTGGATGCGATGAACGTAAACGAAAAACTACCTGCGCAGAATCTTGCATTTCTGCTGACATCCTACGACAGTCACTCACTGGTGCTCATCGGAGCAAATGAACGAACTTACAGTTCGGAGTCGGGCAAAATTGGAAGACTCGAAGCGACCAGCGCGAGCAGAGGGACAGAAACAAAAGTAGTAAACGTCATGTCAATAGTTCACCGGCAATGACAAAACGTTGGCTATTCAGTTCTGGCGGCGGTTATGGGCGGAGCCAAAAGAGTAGTACCAGTGAAGGAGGAACAAAACCCACCTTGTTCTATCTCACCTCACGATACCCGAACACGATGCAAAGTCGGACTAGGTCGGCATGTGATCGGCCTGCAAGTCGCGTCTCCATTTAGTTGTTGTCACGTGCAGTTGTATTTCCCCTCAATGGTTGGTGCAAGTCACCCAGAGCCGCAAACTAGGTCCGTCCCAGGGCCAATTCGAGTCCGAGTACCCGTTATATTAAACATCTAATGGCACCAACTTCAAGAAACCAGCGTCAACAATCGAGAGTATCCTTTCATCCATCCAACGACACTGCAACTTATCGTGATTTACTACTCTTTGAAGAGCGCCTCAAAACTAATGCCGCTCAGCTTCAACGCAGAAAGTCCAGGTATCAGCGTATGTTTTTGCGATATCTGTGTTGCTAAAGACGCTGATGAGTCTATTCCTAGTGTTCCTATTTCATCTTCTGATAGCTATTGCATTCCTCCTCTCCGAAGTGCTACTTCAGACGTCGTTTCTAGACATACTCTATACGAACCTCCTCCGAAAAGTACTTCCAGATGTATACGGGGATGCTGAGAACTTAAAGCCCCACCCGTACTTTGCATCAGGGCTCCTCTTCGTACTTGTAACTGCCCTCCTTCTCTTCTTTGCCAGCGGCATGTATGCTGAGAAAATTGCATATGCAAATAGGTCAGCCTTCATACAATGTATTCGCCACTCATAGATTTAGCGACGGTGCCGCAGATATGTTCCTCATGCGAATAAAGCTCTTCGGAATTTCAACATGTACCTGAATGTCCGACGTCCCCCTCTTCGCTCAACATTCTCCATCAGCCCCTTCTCTTTTGTTTTTCATCGACCTAGCCAGTCACGAGCACCATCCCCAACGCTGCGCCCATCCAATGCACCAGCTCCTATGGCTCCTATACCACCCGCAAACAATCCACGTGGTGAACTCATTTTTTCTTCACGCGTTGACCGGGGCTTCAGGGAGAGTTATGAGAGATACCGAGCTGTATTTGAAAGGAAGCGAGATCGAAGAGAGAGGGATGAAAGAGAGAAGACGTGGACAGGACGAATTGCGAACAAGATGCCGTGGAATCAACCGCCAGATGCGTCGCCTGCTTTAGCTGTACTTTCACGAACCGTGTCTGGTTGCGGGCGGGGAAGCGTTGTCGACACTCCGTTAGGGTCAAGGAGGTCGAGTCCTATACCGAGACCAGGGACAAGAGATCATCCTGCTGTGAAGACTATTGATAAGTATTGATTAGGTAGACTTACATTCGCATTCGTTTGAAAAGCTTATACTTTTACGAGGTGTTTTCTAAGTCGACTAGGTAGCAGATGAGCCTCGGCTCTCTCACCTGAAGAAATGGTGTCGGTTCCTAGTGAATGTAACAATAAATGGCGCCGTACACAGAAATTGTCTTTTTATTCGAAATCCAACCACATAAGGAGCTCTCTAATACAATGGCTGCTAGTCAACTATTTGCGGTCCCGCGAAATCCCATTGAATTCTAGCACGACATCCGAAGGTAACAGTATTACATGTTTATCTCAAAAATTAATGAACACCGTAGTAGTGCGTTCTCAGATCATAGATGTCCCGAACTCGAAAGTGCCCCGTGTTATGTAGGTGAAACATGTACGATACGCGATTTTCAAAGTGGTACTTACATCCACACCAGATATGGCTTGCATAATTTCATTGCCTGCAACGCTGCCGCAAGCCAACTGATGCGGCCATAAAGCCTTAGGCCTTAATGTCGGTAACCATATTTATCTCAACATAGCCTATAACCATGTAAACAGCTCATGTGAGTTATACAGTGGGTAAGTATGGATCCCAGATTCATCCTCATACATTCATTCTGCTTAAATTTTACTGAGACTTACTCAGAGTGCTCTCTTAATATATTACTGAGTTCGAAATTCCACGATTATTCTCGGTTGAGTCGTAGTGCATTACATGCACTTCAGGGACATGGTGACACTACATGCGGTTAGGCTCGGAATTTCCAAAGGCTCCATCTCCGTCGTGTCCGACTGATGGATGATAACATGGCTCCGACGAAAGATTTTATCCGGATCTGAGGTGGGTAAGGGTTACTGAAGTAAACGGTACTTACCATGAGAAGTCCGTGATGCAATTGCAAGTGTTTCACGTTACATGACGGAGAAAAAACTGCCTATCAAGTAGTTAGCATGGATGGGAAAACTTCTGAACGGACATCACTTGCGGTGTTGTTGCGCCTCGATGGTCCGATGGAAGATGTACTCCTTAACTTGGACAGTAAGCTACGTCGCGGGAGGGAGGCAAGTGCGGCACGTACGTTGCATAGATTATTCATTAGATGCCCCATTTCTAAGCTGTCAAGCATGCAGATTCAAGACGTCATTCAATATCTGGGGTAGCATGCAGGCGAACTATCAAATCAATTGTGTCATACGCATGCGGGGTCGTGGTGATTCGTGACGCCTCCCGCGATGGGTTCTGCATTACCTTTTGAACATGTATTATGTAAGACGCACCATCCTGTCTCTCACTACTAAGTATTAAATTAAGCGGTAGTATGCCTCACAGTCATCACTCTCACTCCGGACAGTTCTGTAGGCATGCTTTCGGATCCTTAGAAGAAGTTGTATCGGAAGCCATCAAACAACGTTTCGAGGTATATGGTTTGACAGAACATGTACCCCGCTACAGGCTAGAAGATCTGTATCCAGAGGAGGTAGTTTCTCCTCCTCAAAACAGGTTTTACGTCTAAATATATCTGTCAGAGGGAACTGTCCCTTGATGATCTGTCAAAGCAGTTCCTCAGTTTTCTTAACGAAGCTCATCGACTGAAGGAGGTTTACGCCTCCCAGATCACCTTATTGGTTGGACTCGAGACAGAGCACATTACCGATGATGACCTCAGTCATCTTCAAACGCTCCTAAAGGATAACGGGAGGCGCATCGATTATATCGTTGGATCCGTTCATCATGTCAACACTATCCCCATCGACTTTGATCGTGTCACATATGAAAAGGCTTTGGCCAACTTTTCGAGTAAAGAGGGCGTTTATATTGTCGGAAACGATCAAATGGAACGCTTCCTGTCGGCATACTTCGATGCACAGCATCAATTGATTCGGCAGTTTCAGCCAGAGATCATTGGTCATCTCGATTTGTGCAGACTCTACACCCCTTCCCTCGATCTCAAGCAGTACCCCATCGCTTGGGGCAAGCTGATCAGGAACATCGAGGAAGCTACGCGGTATGGTGCACTTTTTGAAATCAATGCTGCCGCGTTCAAGAAGGAGCAATGGACTTCGCCCTATCCTGGAAAAGATATAGTAGCGGTCAGTAACAAATGTCATGCTCTATCAATCGTTGCTTTCTTACTTTGCCTAGCTTATTCAAGAAAAAAATGGTCGATTTGCTTTGTCCGATGACAGCCACGGACCGCGGACTGTTGGACAGTATTATTTAGATGTGGCGGACTATCTGGTTCATGTAGGGATTACCGAACTTTGGTATTTGGACCGTTCGTTAGAGCCAAATCACAATGGGAGGTACATATCTCCTAGGCGATTTGAAGGTGACTGGCGGCTTCATGCCTTCTGGAAACATAGGGAGGGTGAAAGGCACGGAGTCGCTTTTCAATAAATACGAGGTGATTTTGGTGATAGAAGTACGTTTTGCGGCGGCTTGAAGTACTTCGATATTATCTTTGATTTTCTCTGCCCCGAGATGCACTCCAGCCAAAGCCCGCGACTTTTCATTTCCTGATCAACCATGCTTTGTTTCATGGATGTTGCTACGTTTTCGTCTGGTATTAAATCATCCATAACGCGCATTCCGGACTGCATGTCGCTTGACAGAACATGCCTGAATGGGAGCACAATGCTTGTAAAATCCTATTACGGAGTGCGGTGTTTTTCTGTGAGGAAGCGATCAGAGTCCTCTTGTCCTCCGGTGCTAATTAATTTTCTTATACGCTGCTTCAAATCAGGTGCAAATCAGGTGCGGTGAGTTCGCATACGTAAATAGTTTGCATCATGGACAGACACTTAACGCAATTTAGGATGGCCACGATGGCGCACGACCACCAGCATTTCCACGACGCCACATTTGACAACTGAAGAGCTCATCGCAGAAGCATTCAAACCTATGACGGTTGCTTTTCACTCCTACTGGCCTAACGCTGAATCAAGATCTCGATTTTTCCCTTGGACCCGCGATCCTCATTGCGTCAATCTCAGATGTGGGTCAACCATGCTGCTCAAGATAAGATTCATATATCTTCGTGCCATGTGCTTGCCTTTGACGTGCTTCTCCATGCAAGGTGCTCGGCATGGTGAAGTTTAATGCCCCAACTTCGCAATCCCTACCCCGCATTGAACTTGACCCCGCAGTCGTCAGTCTAGCCTCTTTCGAGAATAATTTTTTTCCTGGCGGTCTCTTATTGCATGTGTATGATGTGGGCATGCAGTGGCAGGATTTAAAGGGTCGTGAACAGAGTATCTTTAGCTTAACGATCCCATTCTTCCGCTAGAAATTCCTCATGTGAGGGAGATTCAGACGCTTTCTTCTCGCACGACTGACTTGTGTGTTACAGTTAACATGTGTTACCGTCAGGTTCAGTGCGCCAGACACGGTTGTGGTCACGAAGAGCCCATCGGGGACGCGAAGGTTAGCCTAATGCAGTGATACTGCACTTGCACTTTGAAGTTACTGACAAAGACTGAAAGGTGGATTGTCAATCATCTCAATGTCGATACAGCGCTGCACATCCCCGAGGCTGTCCAATTTGCCCTAGCACATGTGTTCAATGGTTTGTTGCACTGTAATAGTATATAAAGATTTAACAACTGACTGTGATTTTGTCCCACACCAGCATGGGTAGAGCCCAAACTATTGTCGTCCGAAATGGAAATCCGATGTGTTCCCATTGTGCTAGACAAAACGCATAAAAGATCGGACTTGCTGTGTGTTGTCACAGCTACTGAATGGGCCTTCACCCCGCCATGCCGATCACAGTGTTCTGTCCAATCACTTTGTATTACTCGCAGTTCGATCTTGGATTGATGTTCGTAACTACCATTATTGTTGATTGAGTTATAAATTTTAGGCCCATCCACTTAGGTCAAGGGCATTGCTCATACTTGTACTTACTTATACTTAGTCTTACAGTTGCTGAGGACCAGCCAGCTGTACGGTCATCAATACTCAAATTAAGATATCTTCCCGGATATCTACCACGTTTGCAAGTATTCATAGTCACACGAGGAGTGTAGCCTCATAGAGTACCAGCTTCGCGGGAACCTGAATCGGCGTACAATCTGACGGAGTCATTACTTTTTCGGCTGTTGATTGCGAGTCTTCCCTTGAGGCGTTTACAAAGGCAAAGGGGTCGATCACTGATCATGAGTGCATATACATAGTCTCCCCTAGAAAGGCTTTATACGTATAGAAGGACAATAGAAGGAAGCCAATTGTTTCTTTTTGATTAAATCATACACGAAGGGCCTTGAGTCAGGATGTAGCTGCGGGCCAAGCGGTGTTATGATATGTTGTGCATGTAGCTTTATATAACTTGTATAGTATGGGCCCGGTCCCAATAAGTAACTTTAATCACTATATGGTTAATCCAAACCATGAACCTAACCGTATCATCTCCAAGTTTGCAGGCAGCATATCTTCGCACCCTTCCCGCCATCAGACAAAGATGCTCAAGTGTACATGCCATGGCGCAACAAGGAAAGCTGGAGTATTTTGATTATAACCCGGATCGTGAATCGTCCGTTGTGAATTACTGCCTCGAAATCATGAAGGTTCCGACTCGAGCCGACTCCCAGGCATTATCAATGGCTGATACATGTTTTAGAGAGACTTTCCCGCAGTTGATGGGGGTGTTGACTTTGCGTCTGTAAGGGTTTATATCTCTCATCGGACAGCCAGTGTTAGAGTCACTCCATAGATTCCACCGCATGGGAGATGGAGGCATCTAGATGCAGGAAAATCGCGCATAGCGCCTTTGATGGCGAAATGGGATGAAGAACGAGGGTCGCCAGTTAGCGAGAAGGAGAAATGCAAGAGGTTGATTGATTTGTTCCTTGTTTCTGTCCTACTGGATGCTGGAGCTGGCAACCAATGGGTGTACAATGAGTCAGACGGGGAAAGCTACAGTCGGTCGGAAGGGCTTGCAGTTGCAACTGTACATATGTTTGACCAAGGTCTTTTTTCGGGATCTCCTGTAGCCCAGCCTTATCGCGTCGATGGTAAGGGTCACATTCTCTCTGTCTAGCCTAAGTGTTCTAATTTGATTTTCCTATCCGAAGCGCGGGGATTGTCTCAGATCAATGAATCGAGAATCGCCATCGCTATGCAAGTCAGTGATACCAATCCAATGGTTGGTTTGTCAGGCCGAACTTCGCTTCTGGTCAATCTCAAGACTGCGTTGGAGTCTAACCCTCGCATCTTCGGTTCTGATGCTAGACCTGGAAATATTATCGGTATTGATCATCGCCTACTCTTTGATCACCACTTCTGATATTTACAGACTTCCTGGAATCCGAATCGAAGCTCGATGGCTCATCCCTGCATGTCCATGTCTCAACACTGTGGGGAGTTTTGCTCGAAGGTTTAGCTCCAATTTGGCCTGCAAGGTATTCCATCGGTGGGGTGCAGCTCGGAGACGTGTGGCCGTGTTCTGTGCTCGCTTCGGATAGACAAGCTGAGGGAGACGACTTCGTACCGTTCCACAAACTAACGGGATGGATCACGTATAGCCTGATTGAGCCCATAGAGAAGATTCTCAAGTGGAGATTTGACGGCATCGAGGACATGACTGGTCTTCCAGAGTATAGAAACGGTGCATACGATATACCTTGATGTAATACTGCTATTGACGTTCAAGTTTCATCTAGGAGGCTTGCTGATTGACTTTGGCGTTCTTACTCTTAAACCCGGTCTTGAAGCGCCCACAAACACCGACGGTGTTCCACGTCTTCCACCATCACATGGTGCTGTAGTTGAATGGCGGGCAATGACGGTGATTGAACTGTGGGTCACATCAGTGAAACCATCCCAAGATTACACTAAACTTCTTGGGAAGGGATCGTATCGCTGATGGCATTCGAAGTCAAATTGGTGTGAACTCTTATGATCTCACCCTTGCTCAAGTACTAGAAAGCGCAACGTGGAAAGGAGGGAGAGAAATTGCCAAGCGACTCCGCCCCTTGACTGGCGGACCGCCCATCGAGATAGAGAGCGACGGAACTGTTTTTTGAGGATGTGGCATTCGTCCGGAAAGTATCAAAGCATGTATGTATAACTGTAGTTCGACATTGGAAGTACCCAGGTGACCAGGAAAGCGATCAAAATTCATGTGTCTCAATTCCCTAGCTAGGCGCCAGCACAAGGCAAAAGCTACGGCCGCGGCTACGCCCCCCAACCTGATTTGGCTCTGTGATCAGTTGCTTTACTAGTGTGCTTAATGCCATTGGCACCCACCGAAAGATTATTGCAATTGCATTGGGACCTGTTTTTACAGAGGGATCTTGGTCTCGATCTAAGATTTGTCGCATGACATCTCCTGACGTAATGATCGTACCATTGACAGGGATAGCGTTGCCCGGATGATGACCATGTAGGACAGATTTCTGAGGATCAAATATTGCGAAGATGATTGACGACAGGCCAGTGACGAGAAATTGGGGTACGACGATAAAAATATTATGAATGCCCTGGTGACGTTGGTTAGATCTGACAGGGACAAGGATCTGAAGCACTGACGAGAATAGCACCAGCCTGCGAGCTTAAGCCGTTGGGATTCTTTTTCAGCCTGCGAGGCAATGCATCATGAGACATTTGAGCCGATGAGTCATTTATATCTATCTGGCTGACTCGTGCTTCGTGATTTATCATGATCCTCGGATAGTCGCCATTCTCTTGCTCCGGCGACGCAGATCTCGAGTATGTCGGGTCTTCCAGGTCGGAATCGACGAGATGCCGAGTTTCATCAGCATCCTGCTCATCATCATCAGTCCTGGATCTTAAATTCAAGCGCGTGTCCTCGAGGTATATCGAGATAGTCTCTTCATCAGTTGCGGGATGGGACAATATTGCCTCCGCGAGCTGAGAACAGTATGAAATCAAAAAATAGTAGTGCGACATCCAGGGCTTGAACGATGACGTACCAACGTAAATGGGGCCCACTGTACTATGGCCCAACAAAATCCGGTCACTGACATGATGAAAGTAGCACCGCCAACGCTTGATACAACGCTTCACAGATCATTAATTAAAGCTATCGCTTGCTTGACGTGTAGAGACTTACAACGTAGCAGCCATGCATAGTGCGAATACAAGAAGAGAGAATGCCCACAGTGTAGCCAGGTGAACCTGGACACGTTCCAACCACGGCTTCTTCAGTCGAAGAGGGGTCGATATAGCAACTTCTTTAGCACGGATGACGAAGAAAGGCATAATGATGTTTGCTGCAAGGGATACAAGCGCGCTGTAGAATAGTGCACGCGTGCCAAGACGTGTCGCCTCCTCTTCTAATATGACAGCTGAATCATCGTCTGCTGGAGGAGGGGAAACCTGTTTGTGTAGTTCGCCAATATACACGGTAGTATAGAATAAAACAGGGAACCAGGCCAGGGATGAACTACCAGGTTGTGGCTGTCAGATAAATGGAATGTTATTCGGCACAAACGCACAAAAATTGAATATAACACTATAAAGCAGGTCAATAGATACGGTGTAGTGAGAGCATATGCTGCGTACGATTTGTTTTATTACTCGAGGTAATCTTGTCAGAGTATTCCATATATTGTATATTTCTTGCTTCAGACCCTGGGCGCGGGTACTATGTCCAAGTGAGACAAACACCCAGTAGATATTGAGATAACGCACTCGGTTGCAACAAGTATCCTCTCTTTGACGCAAATAGAGGTCAACAGATGAGTGGATATGAGTAACAGAGACGCAATGACTACCAAATCTTCTAGTTGAGCATGGCCAAGGAAAGGTAACCATTGAGGAAGGTCTATTTCTCCCCTGCAACAAAACATGAGGGCCCAAGGACAAGAATTTACCTAATTTAAGCTCACACAAAGAATCCGAGTACGCCGCCAATGGCCTGCATTCGAGCAGCCCATGCGTTACCACTGGGCTGATCTGATGGGGGTAGGGTGTCGACCAAAAGAGCACGGTCCAGAGCTTGCACTGCGAATGGATTTTTAGTTTCATAGAGCAATACTCAGGGTTTGTGAGGACATACCTGCATTGATGGAAAAATCTATGCAATATATCGATAGGACAGCAAGCCATATGGCAAGTGAATCATGCTGATGAATTCAGTATGATCTGTCAGTTGTATCGAAGAGTGAACGCACCGAGGATGATCCTGGCGTTGTAAACAAAGCAGCAAATGGACGAGCGTATCCGAACAGAAGGGTTGTAATACAACATAATGCTGCACCAATACCGATTAAAGGCCGCCGTCTGCCAAAGCGTGACTTTGAATTATCAGCTAGCACACCTAGAGACATGTTGAGAGGACTGAAAAATAGAAGTGCAGGAGAGGTACCTATTAAGGGCTGAACAATGAGACCAGAGAGGGGCCCAGCAAGGAAGACCACTGCCATTAGTGGTTTTGACAGACCGAGGGACAATAGGTAGGGGGAGGCTTGCGATGTGCAATAGCATTGAATAACCATCTAGCGAGAGTATAGATTAATCATTCACCATATGACATCTCAACCGACCACAAGACCGAAACTCCCAAAAGTCCAATAGTGAGAGTAGGGAGACGTGTCAATGGGGGTCCTAATATCCTGGCTCTCCCTATCCACCGGGATTCGTCATTGAGGGAGTCTTCAGCGAAGGGTAGAGCAGAAAAGCCGGTCATTCTTGTAGAGTATGCCTACCCAGTAAACTGTTTGCAGGATTTCGATTAGTTTGTTAGTACTTTGCAAGTTGGAAGTCCAACTATGGTTTCATAATTACTCTTTTAAGACGCCACCGCAATGCCAGCCAACCCGTCCCGCGGATTGCCTTTTCGAGATCGAACTTCGAAGACGTTTGCCATCATCGCAAGACATCAATTTGCAGGAGCTAATCTATAGTGCTGAATGCTGACCCGTGCAGTCCTTCGTCCAAGGATATTTAATCTCAATCGCTTTCTCCATTCATCCTCCCGTATCAGCAGGCAATCGTTTGACCCATCTGCTGTTGAACGTGTCTCGGAGGATGTGGACGTTTGCATCGTCGGAGCTGGCCCTGCTGGCCTTAGCGCTGCGATTCGACTAAAGCAGATGGAACAAAAATTAGGAAAAGAATTTAGGGTCGTTGTACTGGAAAAGGGTGCTGAAGTAGGTGCGTACTCCAAACACTGAACTTTCCCGTGTAAACGTAACTCGCCCTAGGCTCTCATACACTCTCCGGAGCTGTCATCGAACCTCGAGCACTCGACGAGCTCTTACCAGATTGGGCCCTCCGCGATGACCACCCACTCACGCAGTCAGCAACGTCCTCTCACATGCGGTTCCTCACAAAGTCGTTCTCGATACCTATACCTCATCCCCCTCAAATGGCAAACCAAGGCAATTACATCGTGTCGCTCTCTCGTTTTACTGCGTGGCTCGGGAACGTTGCAGAGGAAATGGGTGTTGAGGTTTACCCTGGGTTCGCCGGCGCGGGCGTGGTTTACGCAGATGATGGGAGCGTTGCTGGTGTCAGGACTAATGAAGTGGGTCTGGACAGACTAGGGTGCATGAAAGAATCCTTTGAGCCTGGAATGGAGTTTCGTGCAAAAGTCACCCTTATCGCGGAAGGCGCACACGGCTCCATCGCCAAGGAACTCATTCAAAATTTTGATCTCAACCGGAATTCCGATCCACAAACATATGGCATCGGCCTCAAAGAAGTTTGGCGCGTGGATCCAACCCAATATCGACCTGGTGAAGTTGTCCATACCATGGGATGGCCCCTTGATTTCAGGACATACGGTGGTGGGTGGGTTTATCACATGGCTGATGGGCTCGTCAGCCTAGGCCTTGTAATCGGACTCGACTATGCCAACCCATATCTGAGTCCCTATAAAGAATTTCAGGTGTGTTCTTTTCAGTTACCGCACACGTCGCTCTGATATCCCATTCAAGCGTATGAAACACCATCCATATTTCGCGCAGCTCCTGTCTGGGAACTCCACAAGGATAGCATATGGTGGACGTTCGCTCAACGAAGGCGGTCTTCAATCTGTGCCTCAGCTTTACTTCCCCGGTGGTGCCCTAGTCGGTTGCTCGGCTGGTTTCGTCAACATCGCGAAAATTAAAGGCACCCATAATGCGATGAAGAGCGGTATGT